CTCCGGCGCGGCGGCCTGGTCGGAGGGCGCGAGGGGGCCGGGCCGGGCCAGGCTCAGCAAGCGCAGCTGCGCGCAGCAAACACCGCCCTCTTTCGTTCCCGCCCTTCACTGCGCCGCCCGCACAGTCGTTGGTCGCTCCGCGCACTTCTCTTGCCGCCGCCGTTGCCTGCGCCGCGCCCGACCGAGGGGACCGCCGGACAGAGGCGAGCCAGGGGCGTCGCTTCAGCAGCTGCATCGTCCGGGGAAAAAACCCATTCGCTTATTCCTTTCTTTCCTTTTATTTCTTGTCGGCCGAAATGCCTCGCGGAGACCGGGAGAGCGATTGGGTGAGTGAGGTAACGGACGGCGTGGCTTAGTAATGGCCGACTTTTTTTTTTTTTCTCCAAACATCCATTGTGTCCTTACCGGGTTCTTTCGCGGGCGGTGGGCGGGCAAGTTTTCCGAAGCCAGGAGGAAGAGAAAATGGCGGGCGACGGGAGGGGGGAGGGCTGAATTCAATTTCCAACGCTTTTAAAAGCGGCGAGGAAGATCGGATGGAGCGAGGCAGGCAAAGCCATGAGGCGATTAATGGCGGCCTGTTGCGCGTTCGCTTAATGTTTCCCTCAGGCGCTTAATTGGCCAACAGATACTATAAATGCAAAATACGAAAATTACAAACAATGCAAAGGCGGGTTTTTTCCTACTATCTTTAGGTGCCAAAAAACTGAAAAGGAACAATCCTTTTATACCCTTTTCCATCGTCGATCCAGCAAGTAGGAAGGGTAGGTTATAGAGAGGAATGGAGTCTTGATTATTCCTCCCATTTTGGCGCGATTATTGTTCACCATGCTTCTTCGGCAATTTCCGGAAAAAGCTGGCAATGGGCTTTTGTTACTTTCGGGTTTTCCGGAAATTATCGAAAGGGTCCCAATGATGGACGATTGCTTTTCGGTGATGTTCCGGCCGTGTCCGAAAACAGCCGGTTACATCCGGAGACTGTCGAAAAAACTCTTGATGACGATGCGCTTTTTTTTACTGCAGTTTGGATAACCGTATTATGGTACACCTATTTTGTTGTATATTTATCAATATACACGCATAATATACTGAAGTAATTTATCTCGGCTTAATTAAAGTATTACTTCCAAAAATACCAGTATGACGAATAATTATATAATCAGTATTCATTCAAGTTTCTATACACGACAATGTTTCACCTGCTGCTTATAACCCTAATACTGGAGGAGAGGGCTCTGAATATTTAAATACGCAAGAGTTAAGGCCGCCATTACTGATATGATGGAGTCATATTCTCGAACCGCGTTACGCGAAACGTGTAGCTTGTATCTGGAAATAAAAGTACGTAGGGTTGTTGCGGAAACGGCTGTTTGGGGTGGCGTGCTCGTGCCTGTTAGGGTACTAAATGCGGCACAATACGCCATTAGCGTAGGATCTAGAGATGACGCAGAATTTGTTCGTTGGAACACTTGGTGGCGCAGTTGGCGGGACTTGGTGTTTTACACGGAAGACGTTAATGGAGAGGAAGGTTCTGGAAAGGCCGACGGCCGTTGGAAAAAGGGGAGGAGACAGTTGTGGCGAATTCGTGTCATTAAGTCCGGTAGAGAGATGGAGGTCAGTAACCTTTCGATTTACCGGCGATGAAGGGAGGAAAACGGACTTCGAAGTCATAAATGAACACGACTAAGGCGAATGCGCAACTTTGATACTTTTTTATGTAATTAACATAGTACTACGAAGGGAGGGGAGCACGCGTGCGCAGAAGGGAATATGCTTTTGGCCTTCTGGGAACGAGTCTCCTCCCTCCCTCGGTGTTCGTCGGCGCCATTTTCTGTTATAGTCCACTGAGGAGCTCGGGTTTTTGGAGCCGTCACATGGCGGAGCCATCTTCGGTTGGGAGGCGGAGAATCGGCCGGTGTCTGAAAAATGTTAGCTGCTTCAGAGGTGAACTGGATTAAACGAGCTTTTTCAAATTGTTTCTTCTCGCTTCAGAATTACAATCTTGCTGGTGTACATAGTAGGACAAATCGATCCCTGCAAACTTGAGCTTTGGGTCTTTGTGACATAAATTCTTGAAACTATCATAGATTTTAATTCCTGTGTTTATACAGTGTGTTGCATATTAATCTAGGCCATATTTCAGCCTAGCCAGTTATGCAAACCTATCCGGTGTAGTTATTTTTTATGGATCAGATAGTGGGGAATTAGGTTTGCAAATCAGTTATATTTGATATGAGGAAGCTTTGGCATGAGGCTATAGCCATTTTCTTTTTAGAAAAATCAGATTTTCACAGTGGAGTTACAAATCGAGTAACTAAAGATAACTGGTGGAAGAACGTTATGTGGGAGAGTTGTGTTAGTCTATGATGATTAAAATAATTCAGAATTCTGGTAGCACCTTTTCAACTAACATTTATTAAAAGCATAAGCTTCCTTGACTTGCTTTTTAAAAGAATTGTTAGAAACGTTGCTACCAAACTCCTGATGTAAGAACAGCATACTGTATGCTAAATTCGTTTAAATGGTGATGATATCCAAAAGTAAAGACTTTTGTAAAATTAAAGACATGTTACAGAGCAAAATCCCTATTCAAAAGCGTATCTAGTATGACCTCCTGTTCGATTAGAAAATGATGGATAGCTTTCTACAACAGACCACTAAGTTCCTTTAAATCCCTGTTCTGTTAGGTCCAGTGACAGATTTTGCAAAAACAACATGGCTCAGAAGTAGGACTGCATGGAACATTTGTTTTAAAACAAATATTATAGTATCTTCTTCGAATTGATTACTTAGAATAATTTAACTTTATTCTCAAGTGGAGGACTAACTGGTTTCCTTTCCCTCAAGCTTGTGGTTATATATCTAAACAGATGCTTTAGATGATAATGCCATTTAAATTTTTCGCTTTGAATGTGTAATGTTAATGTTCCAAACTTAATAAGTCTCAGGAGCTTCTTTTTTCTTAACTCAGTGATAGTGAACCTATGACATGCGTGTCAAAGGTGACATGCCACAACGTTTTGGGTGACGTGCCAGTGTTCAACACCTGACAACAATTCTCCCTGTTTGAGTTACCAAAGAAACTCAGTTTGTTTTACTCGTATTTCGTTTTTGTAATTATTTGACATTTCTTTATATAATACATAGCACCACACATGATTGGACTATATATTTTTTTAAAATAAATGAATATGTAAAGAATTGTTTCTCTTTTGTTGGGGGGGTGACACACCAGCAGAGTCGTTAGGCATTTTCTGAATTTTTGGCATGCCAAGCCCAAAAGGCTCATCATTATTGTCTTAACTGTTGGCTACAGTTTATTTTAAAAGTCCCTTTGGTTAGTTAGAAGGGCTTACTTACAAGTATTCCTATTTAAATATCCATCACATTAATGTTTTAGAATTCACCAACCTTTCTCCACCTAACCTTTAGAGGCTGAGCTTTTAGTGAATAAATAAAATTACAATTTAAACAAAGGGCAAAGTGACCTTTTCAAATTACATGTTTTAGGAAGGTGATCCTTGTAGATTAACTATAATGGAATCTTTCAGTATATTATTCAATTGGTCTTTTTATTCTTATTGAGCGATGTCAGTTATTTTATTGTGGAAATTACCTCTTTTAGTTCTGTATTAGAAAAATTGCTTTTTCAGTTCTTCCTGGCTATTAATTTTTCCATTAAAAATATGTTGTATGTTTAATACAGTGCACAGGAAAACCAATATTAATACTAAAAATACAAACCTGTAGGAGTTGAAAGTGTTTGAAATTTATTTCCCTGTACCATTTTTCATAAAATATAGGTATCATATATTTTAGCTCCTAGATTAATACAGTCAGTTCTATCTTTCTACCTTAGGTAGCTTCAGCAAAGTTCTGTTATAGAGCATTAACATGATCACCTACTGCTTGAGGAATACTATTTATTTGCCAAAATTGACTAGGAGAATAATATAGATCACTAAACAAAACAATTTGATAAAAGTCAAAATTGCTGAAAGATAAATACCTGTAGCATGGTTGAAATAGATATAGGTATCTCAAGATGCTTGTAATTTTATGACGGTATTACAGTAATTTCACATTGTATAAAATGCTAGCTTTTTGTATTATTTTCTGGCCAAGGATAGGCAACAATGTAGCCTCTAAACATTTTGAACTTTGATGGCAAGAGATTGTGAATTGTATACATTGCCAAACAAAACAGATCGATTCCATCTATTTTGCAGTTTAGATTACGATTTCAGTTTATTACCTTTACCAAACACCCAAGACATAGAATATCCTATATTCTAATTATATTGCTTAAGATTTTTAAAAATCCAATATTGTGAAAGGGTGTAAGACTGCTCTGTTGTTGTTTTCTTTGAATCAGAGGGAAAAGGAGCAGTTCCGCAAACTATTCATTGGTGGCCTAAGTTTTGAAACAACAGAAGAAAGTTTGAGAAACTACTATGAGCAATGGGGAAAATTAACAGATTGTGTGGTAAGTTTTGTTTGCGTGCAGTTAATACTTGATTTTGTTAAATACTTGATTTAGGTAGTCCAGTGTTCCTGTGGTTTGTGGAACAATTTGTGTACATCTCCAAGATTTGAAAATGGGAAGGTACTAAACCAAAATATTTTTTGGTTTTTATTTTAGTGTTATTTGTGACCCCATATAGTGGTTTACAAACTGATTTCTTTATTGGCAGCTTTCCACATTAGACTAAACCAGTAACAAACAAGTGATAATATTTTGGGATTATATGCTGATGATAGACCACATACAATGCTACGTAATATGTCACAGAATTAGTTCCAGAATTCTGAAGAAATGTGA